TTTAGCAATATTCCAGCAATATCCTGGTGGGGACACCAGAAATGGGCTTCACACAGTGTACCCATGTGGAAAATCGAACCTAGATCTTCGGCATGATGAGCGAACGCTTTAACCACTAGGCTGCCCCACACTTACATAATACCATAGCCATATGGTGAGTGATACATTTTGTGAGTGAATTACCAAGATTATCTTAATGCCAGCTTAAAACATTAGACCATGTCGATGACTGGGGCACCCATGCTCCTTGTTTACAGACACATCATATTGTAGTTCCAACCGATGTGAATAGATGTTCAGACATCACAGGGCATTGTAAATAGATGTTCATATTTATATCACAGTGCATGGGGAAAATAATGTAACAATTAAATCTAAATGCATTGTGAACAAATGATAGCATATATATCCCATATCATGATGAATAGTTATTAATCCTTCACACTGTTTACCCAATGCGGAATGGTCATCAACAATCAAGGCAAGAATCATCTTTTACAAAGTCTATATCAGAGAACCTTGTTTAACCCTTTCAACACCGCAGGCCGCTTAAGCGGCCACAACGTTATGAGTCCCCAGACACCGGAGGCCGCTTAAGCGGCCAGGCAGTAGTCACGTCAAAATGAGACATAATTTTAGGAACTTACCTGACTTATGATTCATATATTAAATCCATCACATTTCACAATGTCTGGAAACACTTATTAAATTTCAATTGATCATATATTATCGGCAGAATTAAAATTATAAACTATTTTTCGCAATGTAATTGAAAACAACGATTCTCTGACACATGCTTCGGGAGCGGGTCCACAATAACATTGTCAAAGAGCAAAGTAGCGATGTTTCGAGGAAATGATTAAATAAATAGAATAAACTAATGAATAAAATCAACAACAGCATTCATAAAAGTTGTCAAGCGTACATATAAAATTACTTTTCCATCTTTTTGTGCGATCATGTAATGCAAGTCAAATCACTAACAAGTGACATCTCGGCTCGCCGCCTCAATCTTCACTTCGGACCACGATGTTTAATGCGAAAATATATGCATGAAGCATTTTTGTCACAGGTCATAACCTAGCCGCGATCGTCCAATAAGTCCCATAATTTCACATTATATGTAGCGATTTCTTGCTTAATATGTTCAGAATAGCATTATTTTACCCAAAACTTTCGTCTAAATCTAAAAAATTTGCGTTTCACGAGGCGGTATCCATTGCCGTAATATGATTGGCTGCCTTAGGTCGCGTGTCTGATTTTGACCAATCACGACCCTTATAGCAGACTGTAGCGAAAAGCGTCATTAGAAACCAATTTTTATCCAATAAAATCGCTTCTTACAACTGTGAAAATACTCGGCAAGGGTTCAGTGATGTTGTTGATGTTCAGAGCTTTTCGAGCGATACCGGCATCAAGCGATTAAGCCTCCCATGTTATTCATCTGAAGCTTGAAAGCGGAGGTATTTTCCGTTGTTATGTCATGTTACCGGCGGAAAGCCACAGATATATCGGAAATAAAGGCGACCATACATATTATTTAAGAAATCTTTTTATAATAATTTTCTGATTACGTAAAAGTGAAAATATAAAAGAAAAAGGCACGGGCATGTTATGACATGTCACAAATGGAAAAAAATCGCCTTAGTTTTTGCTTCTTTCGTGGTTTATCTGGACGTTATAAATGTAAGCTTGCATTTTCATTCAAAATAATTTTATTTAAGTTGTAGTTGTATTATTTGAATAATATTATAAAAATAAACTTCATATTTATCAACATTAGGATTAGATCTTTTAAATGGTGTATGGGATGTAGTAGCAATAACGTTTTGCAAGCTTATAATTTCCTTCATAAACATAGGCTTCATCTATGACCTCAGAGTCTCTGGGAACTCGGTGTCATGGCAGTAAATGCCTCTGGTTGACTGGTGTTGAAAGAGTTAAATACTAAAAAAGATTTGAGCAAAACCATGAAAGCTGCTTGTCAATAAATAATCTTATACCAGACATACGAAACAATACTGAAATACTCAGTCACCAAGATCTGGATCATAATTGGTTTTCAGCAACAAATGCTTGTCATAAGATGCAACTAACAGGATCAGGTGATCCGAAAAGCAGAACTTGTTAATACATGTATGTCACTGTTATCTAATTCTGTACATCCATGTTCATGATGTCCATCACTGGATTATCTGGACCTAGACTTGATTATATACAAACTGAGATAAAACAGCTGAAATATTGCTTACTGAGACGTTGAAGAAAACAAATAAAGAGAGATCACTTCAAGCAGTACAGTGGGTTTCATGATTGGGTATCATTATAGTTTGTTGCCTCAACAGGGGTCGTAACCTACAACACAGGTAACACTTTCTATTTCAATGATAACACTCTATCAGTTCCTTATACTTTTGTGTGACAGTATTTCCTGATATCAGATAGCCTTGAGTAGCAGAAAACACACCCTGACCGTATATGTAGAATCTAGTGTGTTTTCAACCATGACAACATTTTCAGCGATAAGTTATCACATACTTTAGTGTAACAGTATTTCCTGATATTAGATAGGCGTGTGTATCAGACAACACACCCTGACCATATATGTAGAATCTAGTGTGTCTTGAACCATGACTGCATTTTCAGTTTCAACGACAAGTTATCACATACTTTATTTAGTGATATCACTGTACATGTAGACATAAGTGTGTATTCAACCACGACAGCTGTAAAGATCAGACGAGTGACAGTCAGCAAGTGAGGAAATTATGTCCGAGATAACAATACAACACGACCGACTTGTCATGCTTGTTGACATAATACAGTTCACATTGAATGTGTGCTATGACAAACCACAAGAAGCAATATGTTATCATTCATACGTAAACAACTTATTGATTATCTATAGCTGACAGAGTCATTGAAGAAACTATTGGTTGCGTTCATAAATTTTGCACTTGCATGTGATGTCACATGTTATGAGTGGGATTCAAGAAAATCGATAAAATTTTATCGATAAAATATACTGTCCCAGAAAATTCTGAGACATTCAATCACAAAAAAAACAGTGTTGTAGCATAATTGTTTTAGCATCTATTATTGCTGACAGTTTTAATTACTAGAACATCTGATCTTGAAGCAATAACTGTAAAAATATTTAGTCTCCATACAAAATTCAGGACCCCTTTCCCAATCCTGGGAATTAAAGATAACAATTTGGTGGCCTGCTTCTGAGGCACAACAGATCATGACCAGACAACATGTATGGTCCAATACTAGACAAAATGTACAGTCCATCATGAGTATAACAGACCTGTCAGCTATGAAATGTATTCAGACTCAATCTCAGTTCCCTCAACTGATGTCTGGACTGTTCCAGCAGGTTGACACTGATGAAGTGTGGGGCTACTGATTAGATAAGGTTGTCCTAGAAACACTACAGTGTCCATAACAAAATATCTGTCCAGCTAGAGCTGAAGGATTGCAGAGGTGTAGACTAACGCTTAGTCTCTGATTATATAATTTTGATTGTAACATATAAACCCATTTAAATTGAAAAGGAACCCAAGGGAGACCAGAACCAGGGGAAATCTAGACTTGCTCCATTTACTGTAGGGCTTTGGCAGTGCAGGGAGGGCTAGACTGTAGGGAAAATAATATGGTTCAGAGACTGTGAGACAGACTAGCTGAGATGCAGGAATCAGAAGTACAGATTCTGACTGCTGAACTCTCTTATCATAGTTAAAATCATTGTTCAAGAAAGTCAAGGGTCATTGCCATACCCCACTGTCAAACATGCTGACAGATACAGATTCAATGGTCATATATTCAAGTATTTTAGGAACAAAACTCAAAGACCCCCATAATTTTAATCACTGCTTACACATCCATACAAGAGTAAAAAAAATTCATTAAATCACATTATGTGCATGTGTCAGTGAAAACATTTAAAAACGACCACTTAGTTTAAATACCCCCCATTGGCTCTGCCAACGCAAAAAAAATAATCTTCAATGTGATCTTAAGTTATTTTCAAAAGGGGGGGTTCAAACACCCTGACCGAACCCGCGACCTTCAGTTCTCCGCGGGCGGACGCTCTAACCACTACACCACGGAGGCGGTCCTATAATATAATGAAAGAAGAGCCCTGAGACTTTCTTCATTTTAAGAAACTGAAAATGTGGAAATCTGTGAAAATCCTGAAAATCTAGACTTGCCACATATTCTAGACTTGCATGGGCTTTCTTGGATACATTTGTTTTACGGTCTGTATGACAGACTAGGGTTTCAGGTATCACATAGGATATCTGAATTTGGTGTAAGAAGAAATCAAATGAATAAATGATGTTTACAATGTCAGTATGAGTAAATATGTTGGCAGTATCATATGCCACAAACCAACACTTTGGGGTTACAATCAAACACTGTTATCAAATTCACTGTCACTACTACTGTTTTGTTTCACTTGGCAGTATTGTTATCTGAGAAACTGTCCATCTGACCAATAACACCTCTGAATGATATATCCAGACTAGGATGATCTCCACAATATATGAAAGTTTTCCTTGTGGCCTGTAGATTTGTATGTCTCAGGAGTGGAAATAACCCATTGCCCGACGCCCCAGTCCAGTGTGTTTTTTCTGTCGGGCAAGCAAATTTGTATATCACACTGTACCGGTGTCCAGTTGACTTTCCAATGTCAATTATGCTGTTTATTTAAAAAATCAACTAGAAAATCGGCCAGTATAGTGGAAAAATTATCAGGGCAAGTGATTTTATATGTGCCACTGTACCAGAGTACACTAGCATTTTAAAAGTTATTTCCACCCGATGTCTGGACCAGGCAAATTAGTGGAAGACAGTATGAACACCAAATCACTGTGGTCTGATGTCACACTATCTGATCCCATTTTCTCATGTCAAATTCACATATTTTCAAAGTATCCCGTACTCTTTTTCAAATCCTAACAATTGAAACATAAAGTTTAATTCATACTTACAAGTTGAAATTCTCTCCGTCTGTCGAACGCCCCTTTTATCCCGCTGTCTTGCCATAATATTCTCATTGGTTCCACATACTGTAGAAATGTTCTCTCGTCTAATTTTTTAACTCCATCATAACTGAAAACAAAATTTGCATGTTTAACACTTTCTTCACTTCCAAAAGGAATGCCTAGTTTGTCCCTGGCATCGATCAAAACACGCATGCCCTTTACAATGTTGTTGTATATCACACTCTGGTATTCCCGTAGCGCTTCATCGTCGAAATCCAGTCCGTGGATAATCCTCATCTGCTTTAGGAAAGTACTCTTTCCACTCTCTCCGGCACCCAGTAACAAAAGCCTCACTGTTCTCCTGAATGTCAACCGATCCTTCATTAATTTTTTGTCGATCTCATGACTTCGTATTCGTTGTGATTTCTCGTGGTCACTCATACAACATGACATGACCAACTCCGCCATTTTGGTGTTCACCCCACCCATGACGTCACATGTCAAAACTTCCGGTTATATTGAAGCCACTGCTGCAACAAATGTTAAACGTATTGCTTTTAAAAGTTCTTAGAAATATTAAGATGGTAAGTGACATACATATATGAATTGTTGCTAACCATGATAGCTCATCAGCGTAAATTTGAGATTTGTAATAAAATGATTATTATGGACACAACTGCAGTTATTCCCCTTTTCTATTTTCCATAGAGCACACACACAGTTCATTTGTAAGTCGGATAAAACACGCTCCGGCCAGTTTCCAAGGGCAAATAACTCTTATATACCCAAGATGGCGACCTCCATGGTTCGAGGTCGTGCATGGAAACTTCGCATGCAATGTCGATTAATAAAAGCTCACGTTAGATATGCGAGTGGACAGTATTATGTAACGTGAGTGTTTACATAAATGCACTATTTAATTAAAATGACTGATGTCGATTAAATCATTTAAAGTTGATTCCAGTTTTGTGATTATCTTAAAACTAGCTTAACGTTAGATGAGGAATCCTATATCATGAGAAGAGGATGATTTCATAATCATTTATTTTGTTATAGCCCTCAAATTATTATTACCGTTTCTTTTCATACAGACAAAACAGAGATGCAGATAAATAATATATGACTAAATGTTTCTTCACTACAGAAATAGTTTAGTGTACAGTATATTCTAATTTTTTAGTAAGTAAATTCAACAAATTCCCTTATCTGTAAAGTCCTAGGTTTACAGTTTTGGAAATTTGCAAAGATATTGTGTTTATAGTTGTTAAAACGAAATTTGAATCACACTTAACAAACACTTTACATTAAATATCGGTCCCACATGATTCACATCCAGAAAACAGGTCAGAATATGTCTCAAGGTGTGCCATGTTCGTGAGAGCCAACTAATGGAAATTGGTTGACACCATGTGTGACATGCCTTATCAATGTGCCTGGTACTGATCAGTGTGCTGATAGTTCATGTTATTTATCACAGGTCTCGATTTACATACAACTATTCAAATCAATGTTTACTCAATCATAAAATAACTACTACAAAATGCAAGTAAGCTACCCACTATCTTATCTTTTCTACCAGTAAGTCGCATTATGAATTTAGGCAAGCCAGTAATACTAGATATTCTAACACTACAGAAAAAAACATTGACATTATACACGTAAGATAGATGCAAACATTAAGAGACAATGTAGATCTGGGGTACAATTACAGAAAACAACACTTCATTGATGTATTACCTCAGAGTTTATTGAACAATGTATAGAACAACTAACAATTAGATACTGCTCAGTACTATAGGAAGACCAATCATCCCATTTTATGCTGCACACTTGTTACTTTGTCTAGATCTTTACTAGATATAGCCACTAGACTGTGAAGTGGAGTTTCTTTCTGATGAGTATTCATTCACCGATGGTTCAGGTCACTGAGTATTTATACATGGATGACTTTTAATCAGTGTTATTTTTGAAATAAGAATTCAACTTAATGTTGCACTAATTAGACTATCTGTCAGATGTTTTGCTTAATTAGCAGCTTGGTGTATCCATATAAACACAACTAGTAGGCAATGAAATCTTGTTTCATATCTCAATCAGACATGTTATAGGATTTTTATGATGCTACTTATATTTTCTTTTATGCACAAGTTATGACAATTCTTCATCAAACCTTGGTTTTATTTATTGTGATACACTGTTAGTATTGTTTCTTGAATCTTAGTCACGATATATGGCTGTTTTTTGCAGTTGCTATTATAAATAGAGAAATTTTCATTGATGGAAGCCATGTCTTGAAATATGTTTCTAATTGTTTTAATAGTAAATTAGTTCACATATACATGTATATTGCAGGTTGCCAGAGGTGCCACCTGACACACCAGAAACCAACCCGCTGCTGCGACTTGCAGACCTTCCAAAGTTCTCTGCTATCAATCCTAACCGCTGCATTACAGGCTGTTCCAAGTTGTCCATAGATCATGATACAAATTTGTCCATTCACATTGAAAATTTACAAGGTATATGCCCAAGAAATGCCATAATTTCTATGTATTATCTTATTTATCTTTATGTTATGTTTGTGATGTAGTCCATAGTATTCATTGTAGTTTGCTGTCATGTCAAGGCACTTTGGCTAATTATTAAAGATGACATCATTAGTTGTTGAAGGCATTACAGATGGTACATATATAATTTCACTCATTAGTGTTATTGTTCACTCACCTACGTAACAAATTAAGGTTAATGTTTTATACTTAAACACCATGAAAATGCATAATCAACTGTATCTTGAAATCAGAAAAGGTGTGTTTTTTGTACTTTTATGTCTTTTTTTGTTTGTTTGCTTGTTTGTTGTTGAACGCTGCACTCAGCAATAATCCACTATATGGCAGCAGTGTGTAAATTTGATAGCAAGCATATCTCATGGAAGATACTTCTGTGCATCTAGATTATTCCTGTATTAACGAGGGGCGGTGGGGTAGCCTAGTGGTTAAAGCGTCCGCTCGTCACGCCGAAGACCCGGGTTCGATTCCCCACATGGGCACAATGTGTTAAGCCCATTTCTGGTGTCCTCCGCCGTGATATTGCTGAAATATTGCTAAAAGCGGCGTAAAACTAAACTCAGTCAGTCAGCCAGTATTAACGAAGCATTGTACTTTATGGATAACAACTTCTTGTTTATTGAATAGAACAAAAAGTGATGGCTGGATAACGGTATAAGAATCTACATCAAAATGTCTCTATATGCAATTGACAAGAAGTTGTTATCCATAAATTTGTATGCTTTGCTATTTACTCACCAACTTAGAGAATGATGATCAAACAATTATTCAGGTATTGTTAATTCTAATTCACAGATCCCAAGGTTGAGAAGACCTTTGATGGTGTGTTCAATACAGTGGAGCAACTAGAAGTTCCACTGAACTATGCATACAGAACATTCAGAATTCTGTGCAGGGTTCAGAAGGACAAAGGTTACAATGATGCCTACAGAAGGGTAAGTAGACAGCAAGGGAGATAATCCTATCACTATCAAGTTATACCACTTACCTTTTAGAACAGGGATATCCGGGTGCTTTAAGGGTTCACTCATCATGCCGAAGATCCAGGTATGATGAACCACATGGATACAATATGTAAATCCTATTTCTGGTGTCCCTGCTTTTATGATGATGTTAACAGCTATGTGGTGTGTTGTTATAGTGTCAGAACAATTCAAGAAAAATCAGGAGCGGTTGGGTAGCCTAAAGGATAAAGCGTTCGCTCATCACACCGAAGACCTGGGTTTGATTCCCAACATGGGTACAATATGTGAAGCCCATTTCTGGTGTTCCCATCTGTGATATTGCTGGAATATTGCTAAAAGCGGCATAAAACTGAAACTCACTCACTGGTAGGGCCAGTTCTGTGGAAATCTCTCCCGCTGGACATTAGGAACTGTACCACACTGTTCCTTCCAGCAAAAACTCAAAATGCATCTCTTTGAAAAAGGCTTGAGCAATCTTTCTTGGAAAGGGCGCTATACAAATGACTAGTTTTATGTATTTTATTTTATTTAAATAAAAATGACATATCTGCTCTCATTGAAGAAGATTTTACAAGATGGCTGACCAGAGATTTCTGTTTGTTCACTTTTGATGATAAAGAGTATGTGTTCTCTTTATGTATTTTTTCCTTAGTACTGTTAAAAATTGTACATGTTATTTGAAGATTTTAATATTATTTTTTAACAACACTACATCAGACAATATGAAACCATGTGGTTGTGATGAACATGTTGAAAGCACAGTCTGATTCACAAAATATTCTTTGACCCGTGAAGGTCCGGGTCATGCTTCAGTAACCCATGCTTGTTGTAAGAGGCGACTAACAGGATCAGGTGGTCAGGCTCGCTGACTTGGTTGACACATGTCATCGGTTCCCAATTGAGCAGATTGATGCTCATGCTGTTGATCACTGGATTGTATGGCCCAGACTCGATTATTTACAGACCGCCGCCATATAACTGGAATATTGCTGAGCACGGCGTCAAACAAAACTCACTCACTCACTCAAAATATTCTTTGTATTAGTAATGAATAAGGGTATCATTAATTTCAACAAGAATGAAGGGAAATCCTTAATAGCTAACCTTGGTGAAATGACAATCCCCAAGTTTCATGATAGATCAACAGTTGGCACACCTTTATGAGTGGCTTGTGTCCCACTGGAGAGAAACTACATCTCTATCCATGGTATGTGTCAATATTTCAGGTGACACGCCAGGTTAATTATTGCAACCATGACCGACACCAAAATGCAGACCTTTATTATGCAGTGAAGGTAGGTGAATAAATACACAAAGAATAAAATCATATTAAGATATATAGCTCCAGTGTTATTTCCAACCCTTAATTATTCTTAAACCTAACAAGGATTTCTTTTAATGAAATAAATGCTGACTGTGTTGATGCAGGAATTAGGTCAGGACGTGAACCTTACAGAGACACAGCGCCGCCTGGTGGATCTATACCTGTATGAGTCACATGCCCGGGGAGTGGACATCCAGGGTAAAGACAAGTGGAAGAACATCACAGCCCTACAGGGACTAAACAGAGAGAGGCTGGTCTTCAGGTGAGTCTAGGGCACCTGCTCTCCTGAGATGGGATCAAAGTCATTATATAGCTAATGTCAGTACTTTGTGTAAAATCAACATCAATGGTTTGAATTCAGGTGCCTTTGAAATATTACAAATGGTACATGTACTTCATGCGACTTCATGGCTCGGCTCATTGGTAAACTTCACAGTATACCATCCCTGTGTTTTGACATTTAGAAATGTAGTAAATGGACATGTATGAAGCATAGCTAGTGATGTAAAACACAAGCATAACCATGATGTTTTGTGTGAAGTTTTGAGAGATTGATTGAAACAGTAGACTTTGCCCTAATATTACAACTGCACTGTGTGAATCAGTATACAAAATCAAGGGTGAAATATGGAACAAAACAGGTTCCCAAGTGCTTATGAAGAGAATTAACTGGGGATCAGATTTTTTAATACCTTCTCAACTAGAAACATTTAACAAAGTTTTGGTCAGTATTTTATTTTGTCATTTTATGATTGTATTTACCTTTGTGCAGTCAACAAGCCCATGTGGCACATACACAGCCTATTTTTGTTGCCAACCCTCAGCTACTAAATCCTGAATTGTGATTTCTTTCCAGCAAAAAGGTTGAACTGACTGCAGGCCTATTTGGACATCGCATTGAGAACTTTGGAATTGTGGACAGCATGCCACGGTCTCTGCTTACAAGAATGGCTGAAGACAAGTATGTGTAATATGTGAAGTAAAGTGGTCAAGTTCTTCTTTGCACTCAGTGCAAGGTTAGGGGATGGTCTTTATAGCCAGAGATATTTTGGGAGGGTGACTCTGTGAAAGCCGGTAGTGGATGACAAAATGACACAGTTGCATATTTGTTTTCTTCAAATACAAAGTAATAATTTTAACTTACCTTACCTCATGGTAATGTGCATATTACCTTTGCTCATGCAATACAAAGATTGGAAATGTGATTGATAAGTATCCTTGTTGAATGCTATCATGAAACTGGTGACGCATGTCGAACTCGTCTGGCGAGCAAAAGCATACGCCCCAATCCCGTCATGTGACAACGAGAACACGTCACTTTATCCTTTATCGCACTGTGAGTTGGACGTGTATTGAAGTGTATAGGATATTTCTGTTTTCATTACTTACTGTATTCTTTGTGTTTTGCTACGGTAAGGTTTTCCTATTGTATCCTTCTACCATGATAAAACGAGAAGTCTACTCACCGTTGGCATGTTTTTCTCACTGTACGGCCTTCGCGGTGTGTTATTTTGCTTTGTTTTGCCTCTCATTGTTTATCCAGCTTCGCTTCGGCAGAATTAAGTACTTCTTTGGTCAGACCATTGTAGGTATCTTGTTCTCTTTCTTTGTGTCATATTTTGTGTGTTTCTCCTCCTAGAGGTTTTCACATGCTTGGCAGTAATGGCGGCTGTCGCTAGGCGTGGCACATACATGCAAAGCTACTAGTGTGTGCTCACTGTTGTCGTTTAGTTTCGTATTCCGCTTTTCCCGCCGTTTTTTCGCTTCAGTGTCGCGTTAAGTTGTCGGCGTTTCTTTTCTTATATTGGTAAGCATGTGTATACCAAAGTTATGTGGTTTTGCACGTGGGCCTTCCCTTGCCATTTAGGCTTATATAATTGTTTTACTGTTGTTGCAGTTTGCTGTGGTTAGTTCATGCCACGGGTTTACTGCAGTCGGTGCAAGTCTCAGAAGTCGGCTAAAGACCCCAATCCTGCTTGCCCGGATTGTCTGGTCGACTCAGCATGTACTTGGACCTCTCGGTGCTCGTTTTGCCGGCACCTACCTGCCACCTACTTTAAAGCGTTCCTAGCTGCGCGGAATAAACGTTTTACTCAATGAAAGCGCCTCATGTCTTCAAACGACGCCTCTGAGACTGCTCAGGTTCCTTCATAGCCTACGGCTCAGCTTGGGAACGCCTCTACGCCATCAGCGGATCGGCGATCTACGACTTCGCCTCCCCGCCAGTCCTCATCTCCGGAGCGCTCCAGAGTGAGCCTACTCACACAGGTCCAGATCGACATTGCTGTGAATCCAGGCCCTCCATATATTCTTAAGGATTCTCGGCTTATGGAGCTCCTGGTTGGTCTACTGGAAAGGGAGGATTGCCAGCATCCAGATGATCATTCTAAGGAGCGCCAGCTCTGATCGTCCACCTTCTGGAGATGACCAGCATATGCCAACGGATCGGCAACGCTCCCCTCACTTCACCAAGCCGTTCACCTGCGTGGGAGGTTCGGCATTCTCCCAAGCGCGCAACGGAGTGTGATGTTCGGCGTTCTTCTCCCAGACGTCCGCAATATACCTGTAGGCGGGAGACTTGGGGTCTTCTGGCCGAACTGGACGATCCTAGGAGACCCCTTTGTCACAAATCTGCTCAAGACAGGCTACAAGTTGCCAATAGCCATGTCGCCGCCTTTGACCACCTCGTCCCGGTCTCACGAATATTCAATCGTTCAACACCAGCGCCTGTTGACCAACATTCAGGTGTTGCTGGACAAGAAGGCCATAGAACAAGTACTAGAGCCCAGCAACTCCCCAGGGTTTTACTCTCCCATCTTCTTAGTACCCAAAAGGAATTCTCAGAAGATGAGGATGATGCACAATATGGCGGTGTTCAACAAACTGTACCTTCCGGAGCTGCCACATTTTCGGATGGTATCTCTGATCCAGCTACGAACCAAATTGTCCCCCAAGGATTGGTTGGTCAGTCTGGGTCTTCAAGATGCCTACCTACATGTTCCCATTTACGAACCTCACCGGAAGTTCCTGAGGTTCAAGTTTCACCATTACCAGTGGAAGGTCCTGCCGTTTGGCATCTCTATGGCCCCGTGGCTTTTCACTCGAATTACAGCACCGATTTCCCGGTATCTTCATCTTCGGGGGGATAGAGTTCGACCCATACATCGACGACTCTATCATGAGCCAAAAGGAGTGCCTGCTGCTACGCAGACAGAGGGATTTCACACTCAAGCTATTCCACCAACTCGTTTGGATTGTCAACCTCGAAAAGTCCCACCTAAAGCCATCTCAACAGCTGACATTCATAGGGGGTTTGTTACTGACAGATCAAGACCTTCTGCGGGTTCCACCGGACAGATGGCAAAGAATCCTCAGTCTTGCTCAGCAGGGTCTGTCACACCTGCTTACACTGAGGGAATGGCAGTCCCTACTAGGTCTGTTGACGTCGGCTCAGGATCTTACCACCAGAGGGAGATTGATGCTCAGACCGCTTCAGCGGTTCCTCTCGCCTTTCATCCTCCTCTTCATCTTCATCCCTTGCATCAGTGGTGGACAATCGAGTCGAATGTTTGCGGCGGCGGCAGTTTGACGGAATTCACACACGACCGCGTACTGTTTGTGGACGCCTCTCTGCAGGGTTGGGGCGCTCACCTGGACTATCAGACAGCGGCAGGTCTGTGGTCAACCGCACAGGCAGGTTGGCTAGGCAACAACCTAGAGCTTCAGGCTGTCATCTTAGCCATTCAGCACTGGATTCATTCGTTACGGGATTCCAAGCTCTTGGTAGCGTCGGACAACTCGACAGTGGTCTGGTTGATCCATCAGACGTTTTGTTTGTTTCGCCTCCTGGACAACAACAACATCCAGATCAGAGCTCGTCACATTCTGGGTTGCAGGAACATCTTGGCAGATGCTTTGTCCCGACCAGACAAGCCGTCCCCAACAGAGTGGATGCTTCATCCGGAAGCATTCGATCTGGTTTGTCACCTCCGTCACAGACCGTTAGTGGACCTCTTTGCAACGAAGCACAACCATCAACTTCCGGTCTACGTGTCTCCTCTTCCGGATCCTGCTGCTTGGGCAGTGGATGCCCTGTCCCTCTCGTGGGAGGGTCTAGACGCCTACGCGTTTCCTCCTCCAGTTCTTCTTCCCAAGGTCGTGGCCAAGCTCAAGGAGACTAAGCGGATGACTCTGCTTTTGGTCGCACCTTGGTGGCGGCGAGAACCTGGTTCCCGAGCTACGTCGACTCGCCAAAGAAGATCCTCAACTGCTACCACAGTGGCTGCATCTTCTACGGCATCCTCACAGCCACCTGTTGCACCCGGATCCAGACAGGTTTCATCTATGCGCTTGGGTCATCTTCGGAAAGCTCTGAAATCCAAGGGTTATTCGGCTGGTGTGGCTACTATCATCGCCCGTGCTCATAGAGTGTCCACCCGCAGCCTGTACGATGACACATGGTCTGCATTTGAGAAGTTTTGCGCTGACCGCTCTAAGAATCTGGTTAAAGCGTCTGCTCAATTTATTGCGGAATTTCTCCTCTACCTACGCAACACTCATCATCTAAAGGGTGGTACGATTTCTACTTATTTGGCAGCCCTTAATTCAGTGCTGGCCGTCAAGTCTGATAGGAAGGTCTCCAAGATCCCTGAACTACTGGCCATGCTGAAAGCGTTTAAGTTGGAGGATCAGAAGTCGAAGTTCCGCCCTCCAGCTTGGGATCTTAACGTTGTCGTCCTTATGAGCCTTTGTCTGTGGCCTCCTTTGAGGACTTGTCCAGGAAAACAGTTTTTCTTTTGGCGCTTGCTACTGCGGCCAGAGCTAGTGAGCTTCACGCCATAGACGTCACAAGGATTAGGTTTGAACAGACTCGTCACGGTTCCGTCCATTTGGGTCTTCTCTGGGACTTCATTGCCAAGAACCAGCTGCCTGGTCAACCGGATCCTCTGTTTGTCCCTCCTTTGTCTTCTATAGTGGGCAGTGACGACTCCGATGAACTTGCGTTGTGTCCCGTGAGGGCCCTTAAAGAGTACATCAAGCAGTCGGTAGTCAGAAGACGTACCAGGAAACGCCTTTTTAATCCGTTTTCTTCTGCGTCGAAGGGTGAGGTCAACAGAAATACCATCGCTTTGTGGCTCCGCTCGACTATCCTCGCAGCTTACGACTCCGCTGGGTTGCCTCACCCTACCGCCAACAACCCACACGAGATCCTGGCCTTAGCGTCAATCATGGCTCTGCACAGAAACTGCTTGGTTCTTACTATTATGGAAGGTTGCTTTTGGAGGTCTAACACAGTCTTTGCCAGCCATTTTCTCCAGGATCTGGCAGTCCAGGATGTACAGGGGCTTCAGTCCTTTAGCCGCTCGTGGTAGCTCAGCAACTGAGGCGGCCCTCTTCTCACTAGGTGCTTATTTTTTTGTCTAATCATCTAAGTGATAGTTTTAAGGTTAACCCACGTTCTCTCGTGTTGTGTTTTCCTTATCAGGGGTTGTACCGGTGGTTTACTGTTCTTGTTTCAACGATTCCAGTTCTTCAACAAGACAGTTTCCACATCCCCGGTTGTGCTCTTTTGGTCTGATAGTTTTGGTTGGTCCTCGGCGGTGTCCGACCCTCCTGCCTTTCTGTCGATCAACATGCACATTACCATGAGGTAAGGTAAGTTAAAAATGTATTAAAATCTAAATATTTTAGATATTTAAATACTTACCTCACCTCATGGCATCTTACGCCCTCCCTACGATGGATCGCCTCGGACTTCAGGATTCGGATAAAGTGACGTGTGCTCGTTGTCACATGACGGGATTGGTGGGCGTGCTTCCGCTCGCCGGACGAGATCGACAGCGTCACCAGTTTCATGATAGCATTCAACAAGGATACTTATCGATCACGTTTCCAATCTTTGTATCGGATGAGCAAAGGTAATATGCACATTACCATGAGGTAAGGTAAGTATTTAAATATCTAAAATATTTAGATTTAATAAAATTCAAATTTTTAAACTTATCCTATCTCACGACTTGCACCTCTCTCTCTTGCTTTGACTCTACATGGAATGACTGTAAACTTTTTCCATAGGCCTCTCTTGTCCATTCACCCATGCACTGCATGCTGCTCTCTCTACAGGACAGCTTTCCTTGTCCCAATCGAGGCATGCAGCATGCTCCACTATCTGCCAACGTGACTTGGATCATCTATTTAAGTCTACCCCAGTGGTGTGGATTACAATATGCGTTTTGTGCTGTTACAAGTAATAGCTGTGGATCTGTTCTGTTGCAGGACTCGGCCGTCCAATGGGCCCTGGAAGGTGACTCTCGACCCTGAAGTGTATTACCCATTTCTTGAACACTGTGATAACCGCCAACAGAGCTGGAACGCGTGGCAAGCCTTCAATAACCGAGCTTCAAATGCCCATGGTGCACAACATCTCTCAAATCAGAAGGTCCTGGAGGAAATCCGAATGTACAGGTCAGTATAGGTTTCAAATAAATGAAATTCAGGTAGCCTGTGAATAGTATGCTACTCAATGTTTAACAGGAATATTCTGTGGGGGGCTAATGAGTGAGTGAGTTTAGTTTTACGCTGCTTTTAGCAATATTCCAGCAATATCATGGCAGTGGACACCAGAAATGGGCTTCACACATTGTGCCCATGTAGGGAATCAAACCCAGGTCTTTAGCGTAAAAAGCAAATGCCTTAACCACTAGGCTACCACTAGGCTACCCTGGGGGGCTAATGTGTGTGATTGGCTGTCATGCACAGGAGTATCAAGTCTTTCATTATCACTTGGCCCTATATCTCCTTAAATGCTGAGACCTGTGAAGATCCAGGTTAGAATTGGTCAAACCAAACTCACTTAAAGATTATCGAACAAAACTTGATCATGTGGTACAGGCCACCCTATCTGTTATTGAGACTCAAGTGTGCCTTCAGTGACTATCTATTTTCAGTGGAGACTATGCCAAGCTGCGTGGCTTCAAGACTTATGCAGAGATGACACTGGCAAACAATATGGCGGGATCGGTGGAGAATGTGGTCAACATGATTGAAACGTAAGTTCTCATTGTATGGAATGTAAATCAATACATGTTGGTTGCAATACCATCCTAGAGGACACATCTGTACATGTGCATGTTCTAGGTGATCAGATGTTTAAAATGGCTTTGCACTGGGGTTGTCATTGATTGGAAATTTAGCATCAATTAATCAGGCAAAAGTATGGCAATGTATCAAATTATTGATTTATAACAAGGTTAGTTAACTGTGTAGTGGTAAAATGAATTCTATATGGAACTTCAATTAATCACCCTAATGCTAATTATGAACTTGGCCTTTACATTTAGCATTAAAATTGCATGTTCTGCCTATTTATTATATTCCTATCCATGGTATTCTTTTTCATAGAGATCTTGGGGTACATATATGCATTTTCTGCGGCTGAAAATATCATGTGACAGTTGTATCAATGTTTTAATAAAAATATTGTACAATAAATAAAAATCTTTTTTATCTATTATATGGCCCCCACCACGTGGAGTTACCTCCCTGCTAAGCATGCGCAGCCAACCAGGTAAGCACCTAGGCCCGTATCATCATTCCTTCTGCTGTCACTCAAGCGTTCACACGTGTTCCGAGTTACTAGCTGATTTACTTCTGTTGAGAAGAATGTCTGAGACTTCAATATCTGAATGCATGGTCTTTATTCGTTCTTGAGAGAAAAGTTTTATTACTTTGCAGTCTGTTATTTCTCATTTATGTGACTTTATATTACTTTTTTACGCTAGCTTTCCTGTGGTTTACGCACGTGTTGCTATTCCATGGCGGGAAGTTTAGCGTGCCACGGGGTTGAAATATTGCGTTATTAACCAAGTATTTCATGTCGCGTTGTCGCATACACGTCATTTTCAATGTTCTGTACGTGTATATTTATGCTGCTGTGTTCCGCCGTTAGCTACATGCTTGCGTGTTTGCTTTCAGGCCTTTACTGGGTGTACTGTCTGTGGGCAGAATATCCCTAGAGCTGATTAGCATGACAAATGCTTGTGCTGTTTAGAGAAAGCAGGACATAACCCTGAATTCTGCGAACTGTGTATGGCCTTTTCCCCCCGGGCCCAGAAGAGACGGGCGGCTGATTTCCTTTTTTATAAGGAATTGCGGGAGGCGGGAGGGGAACTGACCCAGGAGGTTCCCCCGTCCAAGGCCAAAAAGGCTACGCAAGCTAAACCTAGGTCTTCGCATAAGTCACACTCTCAATTTCAATCCCAATCTAGTGGTTTTGATATGTCAATCATCACTCAATTGTTTCAGCAGCATATGGACTCCGTGAAGTCCCTTGTTTTATGAGTCTGTTGGAGGTCTCCGGCAGGAGTTCCTCGCCCACTCTGAACAGGGGACCGAGAGTGGGGGGTGGGATCGCCAAGCCCGGCTCGATCCCTTAGGCTGGAGGAGACTGTTGATTCTTTGCCTTTGGCTTCGGGTCCAGACGCCTCGGCTACCCTGGAGGGGGAGGGTTCGCTCCCAGTACCCCTCTCAGGCTGGCGCAGGGTCCGTTAAGGATTCCTGGGGTTCCGGTCCCTGCGCCACCCCGCCCCGCCCCATGAGAGTGGAGGAACCGGTTCTGTCGGGTGCCGAGTCTATGGAGGTTGGGGAGGTCGAGGAGTCGGAGGGTACTTTCTGTTTCTCATCGGCTCTCGGGCTTCAGACACCGACAGACTGCCCATAACACACACACACACACACACACACACACACACACACCACAGCCCATGAGGGACGCATCGGGTTAGGTTAGGCAATGTATTGCCGAGTATATACCCCAAGCCGCGGTGCCGACATGTCGCTCGGACTCAACTGAGTTCCACCTGCCGGGTGAGGCGTTTGCCCCTAGGCAACCCTCGCAGACACAGCTCCGTATCTTGCCTTCCCTGGTGCAGGACGTGATGGATCCCCTCCTGGCTGGTTCACGCCTCCGGTTCGATCTACCCGAACTCGTTAAGAGGTATCAGCTGGGGGATGATTCTCTGTTCTTTGTGCCGGTGGTTGACGAGTGCATGTTCGGGTTCTTCCTCCGGGGCGCAGCCTATGCCCGAGTCTGCCGGGTGGCTTCGGCCGCTGGGTAGAGGGAGGAGGATTGGCCGTCACGCCAAAGGTTAGGGCAAGGAGCAGGTCTCTTCGTCTGGCTCCCAGCAGCCTTTTTCTCGGCCAGTTCATCTGCAGGTGACCACTCACGCCCTCTTACCACACGTCCCAGTGGGGGTGGCCGCCTCTCTATATTCCTGCCGGGGTGGGAGAAGGCTACCGGCAACACTTGGGTGCTATCCACCGTCAGAGTCGGCCACGTACCACTGTGGAGGCGAGGCCCGCCAGAGTTCACCGGCATACGTCGCACTCCGGTGCCGTCATGTTCGGTCAAGGCAGGTATACTGCGAGACGAAGTTCAGGCTTTGCTGGACAAGTCCGCAATAGAGCGCAAACCACTGGGCGGGATTTTATTCCATGTACTTCCTCGTTCCGAAGAAGGACGGCGGGTTCCATCCCATTCTCAACCTCAAGGGGTTGAATCGCATGCTGGAGGTTCCATCCTTCAAGGTGGAGACACTTTGCTCGGTGATCTCCTCTGTTCAGCCCGGTGATTGGCTTACGTCGATCGACCTAAAGGATGCGTATCTACATGTGCCAATTCATCCATCGTTCAAGCAGTACCTCCGGTTCTCTTACGACGGGATGTATTACCAATTCACGGTGCTCCCCTTCGGCATATCCACTGCCCCCAGGGTGTTCACCAAGCTCATGTTAGTGCCGGCTACCCTCACAAGGTCACAAGGAAGGTGTTGTTACCCTTACCTAGACGACTGGTTGCTCAGCGCTCTAACTCAGCCAGCGAGCCTATATTCTACCCACGCGGTGATAGACATTCTAGTTCGACTGGGGAGGATCATAAACCTCAAGACATCTGACCTGGTACCCACCCAGGAAAGGGTCTTGTCTCTTTGTCACCCGACCGGGTCACCAGAGTACAGAAGATGGTGTCTTCATTCCTCTCCCAGCCCCAGGCACCAGCGCGGACTTGGCTCCGTCTACTGGGTCATATGGCGGCAACTATTGCTGTAGTGTGGTGGGCGCAGTTGAGGATGTGCCCTATACAGCAAGCTTTGGCGAGTCTGTGGGCTCACTCGGAGGATCTGGAGAAGTGTCTCACAGTCCCCAGGTGGTTGTTTCCTCACCTTCAGTGGTGGACCAATGTCGGCAAACTCTCCAAGGGGGTCCCTTTGCAAATCCCGACGCCAGCTCTTACAGTTCAAACCGATGCGTCCCTCATGGGCTGTGTGTGTGTGTGTGTGTGTGTGTGTGTGTGTGTGTGTGTGTTATGGGCAGTCTGTCGGTGTCTGAAGCCCGCCTCCACATCAACGTCTTGGAACTGAGAGCTGTGCGGTTGGTTTTCGAGCGCTTCCGGGAGCATGTTCAGGGCCAGGTGGTTCGTCTTCAGTTGGACAACTGTACGGCCACGACGTACATCCTGAAGCAAGGCGGCACGGTGTCCCTAGCACTCCTTCGGGAGACGTGGGAATTTCTCCTCTGGTGCAACCAGTGCGACTGTCAGGTGATTTCTGTTTATCTCCCGGGGCTGGAGAACGTGCGAGCAGACGCTCTCTCTCGATGGATCCTGGCTCTGCATGAGTGGATGCTCGACCAGCAGATATTCGGGGAATTTTCTCCCAGTTGTACGGATCGTTCCAGGTGGATCTGTTTTGCGTCCGGCGGGACGAATCAGATACCCGTGTTCTGCTCTCGAATACCGGACCAGAGGGCTTTGGCTTCCAGCGCCTTCCTGCTGGATTAGACGGGCAAGGTGCTCTGGGCGTTTCCGCCTCTACCACTCATTCCCCGGGTCCTCTCACAGCTGTCCACCCAGCCAGCTCAGCTATTTGTGCTAGTGGCACCGCTATGGCCGTCACAGAGCTGGTTTCCGGTAATTCTCAGGTTTCTGGCTCAGCCTCCTGTTCTATTACCTTTTTCTATTACCGGACATTCTCACTCAGAACAGCGCGCCATACCCGAATCCAAGGATTCAGTGGGTGGCTTGGCTTCTGTCAGGTCTAGCCTCGAAGCACGCGGAATTCCTGCAGCAGTTGCAGACACAATTCTGGCTTCGAGGCGGGATTCGACAAACGTTCAATATGAGGATAGGTGGTCCAACTATGCGTGCTGATATTCAGATAGGGGGATTGCAGATCCTTTTTCTGCGGATTTAGTCCGAGTACTGGAAGGCTTGGCGGCTTCGACCATTCGTGGCTACTCCACCGCTAATTCCACTTTCCACACCCCTGTCAGTGGTGCTCTTCTGGGGCCACACCCTCTTATGCAGCGTTTTTTAGCTGGCATGGATCGGGTTTGACCTGCTGTCAGGCGAACCAGCCCACCTTGGGATTTGTCAATCGTGCTAGATTGGCTGTCCGGTCCTACGTTCTCACGTCTATCGGCTATTTTCATTCAGCTGTTAACATGGAAGGCCGTATTTCTGGTGGCGGTAACATCTGGGCGAAGGGTTGGCGACTTACATGCTATGACGGCAGACCTGGCGCTGACTGTGTTCCATCAAGATTGTGTCAGTATTCGCCTCCCGGATACTTACCGTCCGAAAATCGATTACGCTTTCCATGTGACAGCTCCTATCGAACTTCCTACTCTTACCCAGCCTTCCACATCGAGGACCTCTGAAACGAGCACTCATCCGTTGGATGTCCGTAAGACCCTCAAGGTCTATATCAGACGAAAACAAGGGATCCGTACGGGTACCCATCTGTTCTGTTGTTACGGTGGCGGGAAGGCTGGCATGCCGGCTAGCAAACAGACCCTATCATGCTGGCTTGTATTGGTCATTTGTGCTGCTTATCAGGCTAAGGGCAAGCCTCCCCCTGAGGGGTTGAAGGCTCACTTGGTCAGGGCAGTGGCCACTTCAAAGGCTTTTGCATCGGCACTGCCCATTGAAGAGATATGCTCTGCCGCTATTTGGAGCAGGCATAGCACTTTTATCAGGCACTATCAGCTCGATACACATTCTCGTGATCGTGCACGTTTTGGCCGTTCTGTTCTCTCCAGTGGACAGTGTCCTGCCACCCTGACCGAGTGAGTCTTGGTTATCTGGCCAGTTGACGCTGCTTTCAATTGTGTATAATTGATATATCCACTGTTGACATATCTAACTACTTTCAATTTCACTCATGAGATACTGGTCGGTTGTACGTTGGTTTTCCCCTTTACGGTACTCTTTATAGATTCACGATGTGGGCGGGTTTTTTTACTTTCGCACAGTGTGCGAACTGTCTTGCTTAACTTGTGAGGTCGGGTCTCAGTACGTTCCTCCCTGTCGGTTACCCTCCCATCATGCCTCTCGCGGAAGCTTCGGGACACGTGACAGGTGAGTGTTATGGGGTCAGTTACTTTCTCAAGAAAGATCCCTATTTATTTGTACTCTGACAGAATTCCCTCCTCCCTAGCCTCCGGTCTTTGGGAGTCCGAGTTAATGCATATATGTACCCCAAGGACGATCTCTATGAAAAAGAATTAGCTAAACCTGTAGAGGTTTCCAATTCTTTGAAGAGAATCGTCCTTGGGGTAGGGCCACCCACCTCCCCGCAATTCTGATCACTGATTTATTCAGCAGAAGGAATGATGATACGGGCCTAGGTGATTACCTGGTTGGCTGCGCATGCGTAGCAGGGAGTAACTCCACATGGTGGGGGCCGTATAATAGATAAAAAAGATTTTTATTTATTGTACAATATTTTTATTAAAACATTGATACAACTCTCACATGACATTTTTCAGCCGCAGAAAATGCATATATGTACCCCAAGGACGACTCTCTTCAAAGAATTGGAAACCTCTGCAGGTTTACCGGTAGTTAAGTTTCACTCACTTGTTTTAAAAGCCAACAAAAGAACACCCAGTGGTTACAAAATGTGACCTGGCCAATTGTGTGTCATGATAGCAAACTGCAGTGGCTGTTGCTTTTTCTATCATGCCAGCATGTCATCATATTTGATTTACGTAATTGCCGAATGCTGTAGTATAGCTGCAATATGGCTGACTGCTGCGTAAACCAACATCAAATCACTACCAGTCAGCAATCACTAGCTGACTGTATCGGGTAGTCAGACCCGCCAATTTGGTTGACACATGTCATCATTTAACAAACTGAGTTTTTGTTTGTTGTTTAACACCACACTAAGCAATATTTCAGCTGGATGACAACAGTCTGTAGATAATCAAGCCTGGACCAGACAATCCAGAGGCTGACATCATGAGCATCGATCTACACAATTTGGATACGATGACATGTGTCAACCAAGTCAGCAAGCCTGACCACCCGCTCCCATTAGTCGCCTCTTACGATAAGCATGGGCTGCTGAATTCCAATTCACCCCAGGTTTTCACGAGTACGATTTATCTTGCAAGTATATTCTTGTTCAAGATGTTGATCACTGGATTGTGTGGTCCAGACTCAATTATTTACAGACTGTCATCATAAAGCTAGAATATTTCTGAGTGAGGCATTTAATGACAGCTAAAACACATAACTATCATTGGTCACTTTTACAATGTGTCAGATTCAAGGGCAGCTTTAAGGTCAAGGCCTCAGAGGAGATGCAAGAACTCCAAGACTTTGCAGCATCTGAAGGCTTTAATGACATCATCCAACCCTGGGATGTGTCATTCTGGCGGAGACGGCACAGAGAACATGTCTTCAGGTGAGAGGGTAGCACTGACTGTTTTTTTCTTTGCTTGTTTCAATTTTCCCCTGTCCTCACTTCAAAGGTTTCAACACACTCTGTAGCTGAGTCTGAACCTATGTTGGAGCTGGTGGGGTAGCCTAGTGGTTAAAGCATTCGTTCATCATGCCGAAGGCCCAGGTTCACTTCCCCACATGGGTACAATGTTTGAAGTCCATTTCTGGTGTCCCCGCCATGATATTGCTGGAATAGTGCTAAAAGCGGTGTAAAACTCTCTCTCTCTCTTTCACTCACTCACTCACTCACTCACTCACTCACTCACTCACTCACTCACTCACTCACACTCACTCACTCACTCACTCACTCACTCACTCACTCACTCACTCACTCACTCACTCACTCACTCACTCACCCACCCACTATTTTAGAATGAATTAAGTCAGTATTACATCAACTATACTTTAATTTCCACATAATGTGTGAAGTCCATTTCTGGTGTCCACGCCATGATATTGCTGGAATAGTGCTAAAAGCGGTGTAAAACTCACTCTCTCTCTCTTTCACTCACTCACTCACTCACTATTTTAGAATGAAATTAAGTCAGTATTACATCAACTATACTTTAATTTCCACATAATGAGTAGTACAAAAGAGAGTTTCAAAATCAGTCAACAATATTGATACACACAAATAAGAATATGATGTTCAGACAACATGGAAAAAAACAGCACATCAAAAGTTTTAAATCCTTAGAAATCACATATGATCACTTCTGTTTGAGTGAATTCCATTTTTCATTCAGTGCCAATCTTACTGCAGCTATGTCTGTCTATAGAAACACACACACACGCATTCTATTAAGAAGAAGGAGACACATGTAAGCATTTTGTAATGAGCCCAAGGGCAGAAGGTCATATCATCCAAATTTAAACTTGTAATTATTTAATAGACACATCTGCAGAATTTTTACTTTATGTTTTAAGCAGACATGTATATCTGTGTTATCTTTTGCCGTTCAGTGCATCATTGGTCGCCTCCTTAACTTCACAAGGATGCCCTGGAATTGTCTTATCTTTGAAAGATAGGTTTGAGTGTTCTATTGTTTCACAATAACATTTGACCCATGAATATCTGGGTTAGAATTGGTCTTCAGTAACCCATGCTTGTCGTGCGAGGCAACAAACTGGATTGGGTGGTCAGGCTCACTGACTTGATTGACATATGTAATCATATCCCATTTGCGTAGATCAATGTTCATGCCATTGATCACTGGATTGTCTGGTCCAGGCTCGAACATTTACAGACCGCCACACATAACTTGAATATTGCTGAGTGTGGCGTTAAACAACAAACCAACCAACACAATAATATTCACAGGTTGCCTCAGATAGCTTCAAAAGTTTCAGAACATTCTTTCTTTCAAGGGGAGTTGGGTGGCCATGTTGCTTATTATACCACAATAATATGCATTAATTGCCTCCCTTAGCCATGCCAGCATCTACTGATGGTAGATCCACCCTGAATATAATCACAAAGAGGCTAACATGCATGTATGTGTTTTGTTGTAACTCCCACAGTTTGCTAACAGACCATGATATAACTGAATACAAAACACTGGCATTTGATCCAGCTCTCTGTAATAATCTGACCTTGTTTCAATATGCATTGAACCAGAAATCTTTTCTTTTCTTTTTTTAGCGGCAAGACCTTTGTCTATTTTTGGTTATCTCCCTTTCAATTACAAACTGTCTGTGCATCTCAGCAGGGGCATATACATGAGAGAAAGTCTGAAAGGAAATTTGAAGCGTGTAGCTGCAGTTTTGGATGATGACAACATTTTTACGTTTCTTACGTAGATCAGATAACAAGTAAACAATAAACATTAAATACTCATCAGACAAGAAGAAGTGAGTGCACTGACATGTATGCTTATGATTTGACAGTATTTCAGTATTAATCAACATAATGTGACAGTGTTTCAACATCTGTCAATATAATGTGACAGTGTTTCAACATGTATCAACATAATGTGACAGTGTTTCAACATGTATCAACATAATGTGACAGTGTTTCAACATGTATCAACATAATGTGACAGTGTTTCAACATGTATAAATATAATGTGACTGTGTTTCAACATGTATAAATATGTAACAGTATTACAATATGTATTTAAAAAATATGGAAAATGGCAATATTTAGCTAAGCTATTGTTACAATAAAACTGTTCATCATCTTCAAAAAACACTGGTAGGTCACAGTCCACATAAGAATACAAAAAAGCATGAAAGTAGTATGAAACTGTATTCATCATAATAAGAGCCTCAGGTACAGTTATTGAAATTTGTTTTGTGAAAGTAGAAACATCAGTTAACTTTGCAATACTAGATACCAGACAATATTGAATCTATGCAGCTGTTTTCCCCATTAAATCTACAGTATATACTAGATGGGATGGACTTTCATGTTAAGCTTCTGTCTCAGTAGGGGCCCTTTCAGATTAGTTTATGAGTTGGTCAGAGGCGCTTATTGGTGGAGAGTGCTTAATATGGTGAATACGGTGCACCCGAGAAACATACTTCTTACAAAACTTGCTTCATTTTATTTTGACAATATTTTTCACACTTACATTGTTTGCAATATGAACAAATTGAAACAAATTTCAACCATTATATTAGCTGTGATATCATTTAAGAATTGAAACATACACCACAATGTGTTCATCCATTACTCAGAGGTACAGAAAAGCAAGGTAAATTACGCAAATATTTATGTGACAACTCAATTCCTATTAAGTCTGTTGCGTACAAGCACACTTGAATTTTTGTGAATACTCAATAAATGTGATCTTACATGCGTACACACAAAACCGTCAAATCTTAGCTTGCGTACCGGGGGTTAGATAAAATAACTGAGGTATACTGAGAGGTTCTGTTTCAGGAAATGAACTTGACAACTTGCAGTTTCTCATAATACAGATAAAATATAAATAACAAACACTAACATTTAAGTTAGAGTGAAGTGAGTACAATTTATTTGGTTATTGAAAGGAAAATTAGGATACCCTGTAGAGATGAACACAAGCGAGTACATAACTCAGTGACCCAAACAGTTATCTGTAGTTCTGATTACTGATGAAAACTGTGGCCATTTTGTGGTAGTGTATTCGATTAATGAATCAACTTACACCAGTTCCACCGAGCACTTGGACCAGTGATTACACAGGCTATATTTCTCATGCCATTGCCTTACAATAACCAACTTGACACAATATTTGGCATTGGTAGCATTCTCAAAGCAGGGTGTTTTTTACTTCTGTGAGTGACTTCCATACTTTTATATCTGATGAAAGGGCAATAAATACCACTAGGCTAATAGCAGGCTTTGGTATTCATGGGTAATGAAGGAACATAGTGTATACAAACCCTATTTCATAATCACTGCCTTTTTCTTATATGTTGAGCGCTTCAAAGATTTGTTTGTGAAAACAAAAAGTATTGGAATAATGGCATAATACACATACTCAATGCAACACACTAATGGGTAGATGTTGATGAGGGCTTTGTCTGACAGATGGGCCGAGAACACATGTACAACGCTGATGGGTAGGAAGCAGACGGCAAACACAGATACGAGCAGCAGAGAACGGTTGATGAGTATTGTCACAGTTGCCTTAGTCCAGATAGCTTTGTCCTTCTTGGAGTGAGCAGGTTGGAATCTGGATGGGTAGGATCTTCCCGAGCTAGACTGACTGCCTGGCATCAGGGCTGCGTTAGAGATAGAACCCACATTCAAGGAATCCAGGCTCAGATCTATCATACAAGTTTGGGATGTTCTGGGTTCTGGGTCAGTGCTTGGACGAATAATCCTCATGGATGGAACATTGGTACAGTTTTTTTGTTGATCTGTTTTGAAAGTATCGCCTGAATCAGAGAGGATCTCATCCGTTTCTTTGGAGATAATATGACTGTTATCATTCCCATGTATCTTATATATATTCCCTACAAGCATGTTGACAGACCCTTGATTCATTGCACAGTTCCTGTCCAGCTCAGCACAAGAGGCGTCATCTGTCATTCTTGAATCAGACTGACCCAAGTTTTCAGGAACAACTTTCTCAGTAGGTGTTTGTTCACATTGTAAAATGCTTGTATTTATCTGTAGTTGTGACTTCCATGCTACAGGAATGTCAGCATCTAATTTACATGATGATTTCAGTGACTTGAACACATTTCGTTTAGTCACAGCAGAAAGGTGCTTATACTCCGACTTATGGAGCTTCATGTTTGCCAAATCGTCATCATTCCCGGGCATGAATGTGTTGTCCAGAGCAATGGAGTTAAATTCTGTCATTTTATCAACTTCAGCTGACATGCTTTCTAGTTGCCATTTCTGGGAATTATTATAAAGTGTTCTTCTGGACCTGAATCTTTTCTTCATTATTGAAGGTGACTCAGTCGGTTCCATGAAGGATGTCAGAGACCAAGAACTATCAGATTTGGTCAATACCGGCTTGAACCGTTTCACCTTATTATCAGACCCTTTGCCTAAGCTTTTAATCCTTTTGCTTTCAAAGGCATCTCTGACAGTTTTCCAACTGCTGCCTGCAGTAAGCCGTGTGTGACGCAGCGGTTTAAGGCAGATCTGATCTTCTGCTCGTGGGACTTCCAGTATGGTTGATATTTTTCCTGGAAGAGAACCCAGATTTGTTACATTTCTAAATGCTGATTCCGTGGAAGAGTCTGCTTTAACTGTTCGAGGAGGATCTGTTGTCAGGGATGTCAGGTCAGTTTCTGTAGGAGTTCCAACGCCATTGCTTTGCATATCAGGTTTTTCATGTTCTGTTGGAGGATCCAGAACTTGTGAATTTTTCCTCTGTACAGTATGTATCTTCATGGTGGAGTTTTGTTCTAATGGAGGTTTTTCATCACCCTTCCTTTGTGGTAGTTTAGGGGATAAGTCCAAATCTTTGTTTCCAATGCTAAACATGTCAGCCGATTGTGAGAGCACAGACTCTC